TATATAGGGATTCTATTGCCTTCTTCCCCACTACGAACCAGTAAGCATTTCATGGGGCGATGACCTGCAAGAGTACTTCATGGGCCTTATAATGAGAATAAGGGTTTGGGGTATGCACATATAAGGATTGCAAGGAGACACTTAACCCCAAACCCTAAATCCTGAAACCTAAACCCTAAACCCTAAATCCTGAAACCCTAAACCCATTCATTCAAGCTCTTGCAGCGTCTACATTACTATTCAGGCGCGCCATTCAGTGCTCGTAGCAGCGTCATCCCCACCATCCTCAGTTCACAATAGATTCAAGCTGTGTGTGTATAAATATGTATATATTATATACTCGTCTATATCTATATATATATATATGTATGGAAATATTATATACCCCACTACATATATATATATATTATATACATATTATATACCCCTATATAACCCCAGTTTCCATTTCATTTTCCATGTTCTTTTCCATTTGATTCTCCATTATCCCAATATTAACCCTACTATGGGCTTAGGATGCAAAAGGCGCAACAGCACCATCACGTTACCAGCGCCCCCTATCTCGGTGTGCTAGGCATTGATGCTCAGGCCCCTTCCGCGCCCGGCTCGAGAATTCCCATGAAACAGCCAAGTGTCTGATCCACCACGGAGAGCAACATGGTGACTAGTCCCTGGAGTATGCAGCCCATGATGATGATAGTCTTCCTGTGCGAGCCACACAGTAGGCTTGCGGTTTGGAGGTTGAGGGCGAAGGCAGGCTGGGCCTTTTCAGAATTCCGCGATCGGCGATGATGCCCCAAAAGGGTGCCACTGCGGAAGACGTCACTCCCTGCAATGGCCGAAGTGACTGCAGCAAGACACCCTAAGGGTCCTAGGACTCAAATGATAGGGCTTTAGGACCCAAATGCTATAATATCCATGGTATTTGGGCCCTAAACCCTATTATTTAGGTCCTTGGACCCTTATATAGTCTCCATATATCCCTACATATCCCCCTATAACCCCTTTTAAAGGGACCCTATTATTTGGATCCTTGGATAGGGCAGACCCCTGAGCCTGGATGAGGGTCATGGTCGCAAGGTCATTCAGGTGGAGGCCCAAATCTGTCTGAAGAGCATAGAACACAGCCTGCAAGCATGCTTTAAGGTTTTGGGGCTTTAGGGTTTTGGGTTTAGGGACTAGATTTGACATGCTTGAACTGCTCTTCATAGCTGGAACAGAGCTATTGAAATCAAACTGCCCCATGCAAACCGTTTTGTCCACATTGAGCTGACTCTTGTCCACCAATACTACAATACTATAATACTATAATATTATTATAGTGAAATCATACCATTATACTATTATACTTTTATACCATAATACCGTGATACTATAAATACTATAACAATATACAGTATAACTCTGCATCAAGATCTGGCAATCCGGCCGGCAGCAGGGCCATGTCGGCTCCCTCCAGCGCGCTTACGAGGCATAGCGACGACAGCAGAAGGGGGCCCTTAGACCACCGCAGCGCATGGGTTTAGGGTTTAGGATGTAGCTAAAGGGGTGTAGTACTCCATGAGACCTTCGGTGGGCTTTGGATACGTTGGGACTACCAGCATCCAGATCATTTCCTGAAGGAGTCTTACCCAGATCTGGAAGGAGTATTTTGGCCACACCAACACATAAACTCTCCGTTTGAAGTTTAGGTTTAGGGTTCAAGGGAAATTGACTGCATGTAGGAAGCTGAAGCAAGGCCATGCACTCACACTTCTTTGCTGGAGAGCTAAAAACCGTACGGCTATACTTCAAGTGCACCTGCAGAATCCCTGCAAGCCCACGTACAACTACTCACGAACCTTCAGGTAGCCAAAGCACATAACAAATCCTATGGCCTATCAAGTATTCCTTTAGCCTGGCAGCTGCTTCGCGGATTTCTGCCAGCGTCTCTGACAGAGCGGAGAAGTAGCTTGTTGCGCTGACCTGTTCGGCATTTTTCCTTCCGAACCTACCCTTTCAGATTCACTTAAGTTTTGAGGTGTGGACGCCGGATTGCTGTTGACGAAAGCCCCCTCCGACAACGGTTGTGAAATGTTCAGGCTCCGGCGCTGCACCTCGGCGGCAAGTGCTAGGAGGCCAGAGCAGCCATGGCAATTGGCACTTCAATAAGACCAAGTGCTAAACCTTCTGCAACTGCATCACTGTCCTCGGCAGCGATAGCTCAAAACATAGGTCCGGCTGGCAGCGCTGTCACAAGGCAAACACCCCAGCATTCTTCTCAGAAGTGGCGGCCTTTGTCGTCTTGAACATGGCTGGTAGGCCTCATTTATCAAAGCTTGAAGGTCAAGTTCATCCCGCTCTTTCAGACCAAGTTTGGGACGTGAAGAATGTGAGAACTGTGCCCAAGCAGGCGCTAGGAGGCTGCTTGAGAAACAAACTACCAGAATCAAGCTTTCAAGCAGCCCGCACAATCAAGAAGCGGCAATCCGCTACCAGTTTAGTAGTACACGCTAAGTTTGAGTATTGATTGGTTTAATGGCGGGTGCAATAGCTAAGCGTTCCTGATGGGATTCTAGGTCTCAAATCTAGAACATCGTCACCAAAAAACAACTCAACAAAAACATTCGGGCTCAACTCAAAACTGCCGAGACTAGGCGCCCTCATGCATAGTGCAAATAATGGCTTACGGGTTTAGAGTAGGGACAAGGGAATATGTTAGATAGCGGTTACATAGGGGTTTTATTCCCTACTAACCCCATTATATACCCTAGTAGTTTGCATGTTCTTTTCCAGTATCCCCATATAACCCCCCCATACATCCCCTTATTCCCTACTAAGAACCAGTAAGAAGACAGTAAGCAAGACAGGTAGTACTTCGTCCTTGTTTACTGGTTTGCCACAAGCAACATGCTCGCAGTCACCTTTGATTCGTTGCCAAACTAACTTAGTCTGTGATACGGAGGTTTCCGTATAATAAGGTGCTCCCCCTATACCTCCACCCCATACACTACAGTCCTTCGTGACGATAGGGGCCCTCAACAACGCCAATTTCTGGAAACCCCAAGTAAAACTCCAGAACGTTTACACTTTTTGGCTGAGTCTGCAATTGTTCTTCGCTGGTGAAGGTAGTCTTCTGGGTTTTTTCCTTTTCCCATCGAGAGACCCTAATATAGACCCCGAAGTACTGTAATCCTTAGTGTGGGGACCCCAAAAAGTTCCACAAATTTTAGGAAACCCCCATATTCGGCACAGTCAACAAAAAGTTCCAGTTACTACCGACAGTTCAATCTGATTGGCAAGGTCGTCCCGCACACCTTGCTAGCAACCAAAAGCCTAAACCCTGTCTAAAGATTGCCAAAGACTTACTGGGGCTTAGCAGGGAATAAGGGCGTATATTATATAGGGACCATATAGGGATCATATTCCCCTATTCCCTGCTAAGCCCCAGTAAGAAGATGCACTCAAAAGTCAGTTGTGACTAGCTGGGTGAAGAATCAGATCTGTCCCTAGAAGCGATGCAACCTGCTCCCTAATTGATTTGGTTTACCACCTTAGGGTTTAGGCTTCCAATTGTGGGTTTAGGGTTTAGGGTTTTAAGGGTTTTGGGGTTTTCTCCAAGTCCTACACCACCGTGTAGTGGTTGCTTGCCGACAGCTTGAGCATAATTCAAGCGAAGAGTCCCCCAAACCCTATATCCTAAACCTGTACTCTCTCTAAATACCGATCCTGCTAGGGACCCGCACACAAGCGATTATGCTTATGACAAAACCACATGCCTCTGCACCAACAGTTATGTTTGATCCGTTTATCCTCCGCTCTTTCGCATGCACTGATGCAGGCGCTGGCATGGATTTCATCAGCAAACACCTCTCAGCAAGGCTGTCTGTCAAAGAATCTGTGCTGCCCCAGACAAATTATTGCGTGAAAATTTCTTGCCAGAACCCCCACATTGGTCCAATGAAGACTTCATTTACCCAGACTCCCTAAAGGATCCAAAAAATGAAACCCCCGCAATATGAACCCATTGCTACATTGGGGAAACTAGGGGATTATTAGGGGGTTCCATTTGTTGGATCCTTTAGGGGGTCTGGGTAACTACAGCTAGTTGCCCCGCACCTCCGATAGAGCCAGGTCGCCTCATGTCAGATCCAGGTCAATGCCAACTGTTACCAGGATACTTTCACACAGCAATCCTAGAACCCCACTATATTCCCTATATAATCCCTCTATGTTCCCTACATAATCCCTATATAACCCCTATAATCCTTGTAGTTTCCATTTTGTTTTCCANNTATCCCAATACAACCCCAACATATATCCTAGGTAGCTCATTTCTGGATGATCGGAATTCTAGGGCACCAGTACCAGAATCTCCCACACTATGGCAGCACGTGGCCGACATTGCTTCTAGGAATGGACTGCCAAGTTGCCAAGGAGACTCACAGCTATTTGCCAGCAACCAGCTTTCTCGGCAACACTCATTGCTGCGCCGAAGCCTCAGTTCACAAACAGTACGCGCCTCAACGTAAACAGCCATTGGACGAAGCACACTATTTCAGATCTAGCGAAACGCTTCCTTCCTTGTTTGACGTAATCAACCAGGATTTATCTGGGAGCTTGACAAGCTTATAGGATCCGATGTTGGCACCCCTTTGTAATTCTTAGTAAGCCTCCCTTTTCATATAGAATCCCAATAATATCCCTATATACCCTTACATAATCCC